TTTCAGCTTTTTTTAGTTTCAGTTTTTGTTAAATGATATTTTAATGATAATATCTTAATTTTATCCTATGTTCTGCCTGTTTTTCCACTTATTCGCTCTTTTTGTGACTGCCACCCTTCCTAATGTGAAATTATGCATTTCGGTTCTTTAGTGTTTATAGCGCTTTATTTTTATAGTCGTTCGTTTGCACGGAAGCCTACGAGTTATAGTGAATACAAAACTGTGGCCGGAAATGATTGTACAGAGAATCAGTCGTAAGCGTCTTAAGTTTGCTGGCTTCGATGCTGAGCATAATGACATATCTCTGTATTTAATATCGGTGAGTGAAAATGGATTGATTTTTGTTTTATTTACAATTTGTCTGTCTATATTTGATTTCATGCGTCTTTAAATCAAGGGTTTAGATAAAAAATGTAAAAGCAGGCAAATGATTGGTTATAAGTGCCTTATTCATTTATCTTCATCTTCTTCGTTATTGATTTATTGTCTGAAGTTTGCAGAGTGAGAAAAGGTTTAGGTCGGGCGCTTGGTTCCCGTCATGGTTTATGGACTGTTTTCACATCTTGTTTATTGATGATCACCTGGATAATGTTATGCAAATTATTCAAATCTTTGCTTCAGAAAGTAACGAAAATTTTGCGTACTCAACTGATTAGAACACCGTTATTTCAGGCGCATAGAAGTGCTCTGTCGCGCTCATACCAGCTGAATCTATTTACAGTTACGTTTGAGTTGTGCATTACCCGGGGTTTTATTATGAGGATCGTGGGATAAGGTACCACTGTATCCTAGCCGTTAATTTCCCCTATTGGATGTGACCTTGCAGAGATATACACAATGCATTTTGTTTCCCTTCAACAGATTTTTATTTTCGATACGTCAGAAGTAATTTGTCACTTCAAAAATGCTGGAAATGCAGACAATCGTGGTCAATCGCTGCGCAGCTGGATTAATCGAATGCGCTGCAAACGGTTGCAATACGGCTAATTCTCTATACCCACCCAACGGAGCGGGAGATCACGAATATTTTCGCGTGGAACACTAGCAACTTCAGGTTTCTAGCATTCCTTCGGCCCGTACAAGAGTACTGCAACCCATCAATAAAAATCAGTTAATAAGCTTGATGGTGGCAAACGATTGGAAGCGAAGATAGCACAATCATAATAGAAATGCAAATCATCGTCCTGAAAACAGTCCCTACTTGCTCCTTGGGATGCAGTTCTAAGCGTCAGAAGTAACTAGATCATTTTCATCAAACTTTGTCAGATATAGTGCATATCACAACTACTTCCTCACCCTGTCTCAGAACATACGATCAGTTCAAATGAAACATGGATGAATCTGCAAATGGCGATGTTGGATGTCGTCAAAGAAACTTATTGATGAAGAAGCAGATTATCTCGCGCAGTACAGTGGAGAATATCGCTCGCTCATCAACTTTAAACCTGTCTGAGAAAGCATCTCGTTAATCTTAGGCATCGAACGCATCACCAAGAAATTCGTGGCAGTAAATGATTCACAGAGACCGTGTTCTT